TTCATGAAGGAAAGGAATATGTATACTATTTTATTTACAGCTTATTGATTTCCGCTTTGATCCCTCAACTATTAAGGAAAAATCATATAGATGCAAATTAACAATTAGGAGATAATAACCCAAATGGTCACTGAACTTTGCAAATGGTTTCCACGGGGTCATTGAACTTTAAAAATCACCCCATTCACACATTTTGCAAAGTTTAGTAATGAATGGGGTAATTTTTAAAGTTCAGTGACCATGTGGAAACATTTTGCAAAGTTTAGTGATAACTTGGATGATTTTTAAAGTTCAGTGACCCGGTGGAAATCTTTTGCAAAGTTTAGTAACCATTTAGGAAAGGTTAGTGAAAAGTTTGGAATACTTGATTTTCATCTCATCTTCCTTTTTCCAAGTCGACTCTTTCACTCCATGATTACGTCATAGGACCTTGATTAAAGGAATTTTCCTATTTTTAAGTACATGAATCTTTGTTTCTAGTATCTCCATTGGCGTCTCTTCATAGATTAAATCATATTGTACGTCCCAAGTCTAATGGTTGATCTCATGGCTAGAATCCTGTAAGTATTTTATCAACACGATATGTGGAAGACATTATGTACTACTGAAAGTTCTAGTGGCAGGGCCTACCTATATGCCACATCTTCAATTCTTTGTAATATGTTAAATGGTCCAATGAATTTTGGTCTCAATTTTCCTTTCTTTTTCAAATCTAAGTCCTCTTTTTGTGGGAGCTGCTTTCAAAAATACATTTTACCAATTTGGAGCTTGAGATCTTTTATCCTTCTATCGGCATAGCTTTTCTACCTATCCTGAGTAGCCTTAATCCTCTCTCAAATCTTATCCACAGCCTATACCGTTTGTTCAAAAATCTCAGGTCCTAGGATCATTATTTCTTCAACCTCATCCCAACAGATAGGTGATCTGTACTTCCTACCATATAGTCCCTCATATGTAATACCTCAAAAATTTGTAGAAAATTTTATTTGTACTATATGCTATATTTTTATATTTTGAAAGTTGAGGGGCTAAAGTGCAATAATTAAACTCAATTTTATTCTAACCGAATAATTAGATTTTGTTAAAGCGATATTTAGTATATCAATATGGGGCTTGTCGGATAGCTCATATTTAATTATCTATTTTAGTTTTAAAAAAGTTGATCCGGATAAGTCTGCCCCAAGTTATTGAAGTTAAAAAAAAAAAAAAAAAGTTGTTTATTTGTGTAATATTTGAATGAATTTTGTTTTCCTAATTCTAAATGATGACAACCTCGTGTGAATGGTTAAAAAGGGATAAAGTAGTTTTCCTTTTGACTTTGAATTGGATAGAATTTTTGGGTAAATTGGAATTCCACTTTCTATAGAACACATGTCCTATATAAACTAAACAAAAAATGGTCATTTGCAACACGTAAAAGACAATATTTGATAGTTAAGTGTTGGTAAAGGGGTCTATTGCAACATTTTAATACGTGAATGTTGCAATTAGTTAATGTAATTGAGTTTTGGCAACATTTTTAAAATAAATGTTGCTAATGTTACTTTTCGCAATGTTTTCTAAATGTTGCGAAAAATTTTATTTTTTACAATGTTCAGAAAACATTGCAAAAGGTTAAGATAATTGAGTTTTGACAACATTTTTAAAATAGATGTTGCTAATGTTACTTTTCGTAATGTTCAGAGAACGTTGCAAAAGGCCATATTTTGCAACGTTTTTTGAGCGTCGCAAAATATGGTCTTTTGCAACGTTTAGAAAACATCGCAAAAAGTCTAAATTTTGGCAATGTTTAAAAAAACATTGCAAATGGCCATATTTTGCGACTTTCAAAAAACGTTGCAAAAAGTCTAACGTTTGGCAACGTTTTTAAACATTACAAAAAAATAAAACTTTTCGCAACATTCAAAAAAAAGTTGAGAAAAGTAACATTGGTAGCATTTATTTTAAAAATGTTGCCAAAACTCAATTAAATTAACTAATTTCTCTTTCTCCAGTACACAATTTCTCCTGCATGTCTTGATCACAGTAAGAAGTGGTTTTTAGTTTTCAAGTTTTATTTATTTATTTATTATTATTATTTTTTTTTTTTATTTTTTTATTTTTTGCAATTGAAACAAATTCCATCCCTAATTATAACAAATTTTATCTATTTAATTAATAATTTTCATGGAAAACAAAGTCAAAAAAACATCAAAAGATCCAAAATTTTAATTTTAGAATTGGGTTCAATTTGTTGGGGTCAGGGTCGGGTTGGGTTGGGTTGGGTCATGGGTTTGACCCATGAAATCGACTGGAACGCCCAACTCGACTTGTCGTCTAGAAATCACTAGATGCATAATTTGTATGGATACAGCCGCATTAATGCCATGATATTTATAGAATACAAAAGTAGATTTCCTCATATTTCTCCACTGCTTCTAATTCCCAATGTTGCATCAAAATGTGCATAGTTTTTATTGTTTATAATTCCAAGATGCATGTTAGAAGCACCCTCTCTATTAATTACTAGCATCACGTATAAAGTGGTAGTGCCCAAGGCAGTGATGGAGCCAAAGGAAGTTGAAGAAGGTCACTATCCTCTTCGGAACTTAGACTTGTACTGTAGAAGGCTTTGCGAGGGTAAAAACTTCATTATGATAGTTTTAGAAATTCCTTTTCTCTCTTTTTTTTTTCCTTTTCATTTTTATAAATTACATATTAAATTGCTAACAAAATTACCTACGAAAGCTTTTCAATGGTAATATTTCATTGCTAATTTGTTGGTAAAAAAGTAAAGTATGAATAAGAAATAAATTGAATAATTTGCAATGGAAAAAAATCCGTCGGAATACATTTAAAAAAAAAGTATTTATTAAACATTTTCCTACTTAATTTTTTTCCCAAATTTTCATCACAAATTCTTTAAAAAAATCAATATTACAAAACATATTTTATTCTAGAGAATGGGGTATAAACGTACCTTTAAATATTTTTTTAAAAAAATTACAAGAAAATTCAAAATAACCAATTTTCACACTATCCTAATTAAAATTTTCACTTCCCACCAAAATCTTGCTATTTCCCTCTAAAATTTATGTTTTTTTCACTTTTATTCTAACCATTGTTTTTTCCAGTGTACTCAAATATTTCAATTCACTGTTATTAATTTATTTTAGGGTCCGTTTGATTGTAAAGATGGAATTTGGGTAGAAAGAAAACGAATTCCAAAGAATTGAATTGCCTAGAATTTGATTTCCCTGGAATTGGCAATTTAATGTGTTGGATTAGTATAATTTTCCACCTGAAAAATATTGAAATTTTCCATCTTTTGGTGTTTGATTGACTTTATTTTCCATGAAAATTGTATTTCTTTTCCAACTATTGGTGTTTGATAACCATTTTGTAAGGAGTTCGTATTTGATTCAACTACAAAAAATGATAAAAATGTAAGTTAAAATAAGAAATTAATTTACCTATATATTTCATCAGAATTCTAGAATTTTTTAACTACATATTTCATCAAATTTTTATCAACATCTACTAAAAATTTATTTTTCTTCTAAACCACACAGAACCACACAGGGTCAATTGAAGGGTATAATCAAAATAGTTGGAATGTGTACCTACATACTTGAAGATGGGTTTCAACTTTTATCCAAGATGAAAAGGTCATATTCTGCAGACGGGCAATTATTGAGGATACATAATTTTTTTTTTAAAAAGTGTCTAATGTAGGATAAATATTTAGAAGTTTTCATAAAAGATGACGTGAAAGGAAGAGAATTAGAAAGTAATTAGGGATTTGGAAAGGAAAACAGTGGATTTTGAACTCGAAAATGGTGCCCACCTAGCAAAGCTGGTGGCCACGACGTGCACGTCAAAAAGATCTTTCCAAAGTGGGTTCATGGGCGCAATTCTGATAATCGTAGCAAAAGTTATAGCCAAATTATCAAATATACATATCGGAAAGCCAAAAAAAAAAAAAAAAAAAAAAAAAAAAAAAAAAAAAAAAATTAGACACTCTGCGTTGCGCAGAGTGTTGGGAACTCCGCGCGGTGCAGAGTGTGAGTGTTCAACACTCCGCGCAGTGTAGAGTGTCTATAATTTTTTTTTTTTTTTTGCTTTTCGAGATGTATATTTTGTAATTTGCCCATAACTTTTGCTACGGTTATCATAATCGCGCCCATGACCCCAATTCGAAAAACTCTTTTCGACACAAGTCGTGGCCACCAGCTTTGCTGGGTGGGCATCATTTTCAAGGTCAAAATCTGTTATTTTTCCTTCCAAATCCCCAATTACTTTCTGATTCTCTTCCTTTTACGACATCTTATATGAAAACATACTTTTATTGTTCTAAATATTTGTCCTACGTAAAAAAAAAAAAAAAAAAATTACATCATACACTTTATTTTAAAAAATGATGTAAATTATATTGAGAATTCTAAATATTTATCCTACATAAAAAAAATAATTTACGCAATCGCGTATATAGTATTTTTCCAAACCAAGCCCAATATGAAATGCAATGAACATATGCAAATACATTCTGCTATCTAATGTTAAATTCACAAAATGATCTATAAGCATTCATGTATTTTTAAATTCACAAAATGATCTATAAGCATTCCAAACCACAGCACCTAAATATCAAACCCAACGAACCCACATAAGATATTTCTCATGTTGTTGCAGTCCAAACCATTGTCATAACATAGCAAAAAATGACTGCACACTAATTGATAAAACACATCCACATCAACACATACAAAACATTACACACTAGTTATTACATGTGTGCATTACAAAAAACATTCAAAGTACTAATGTGGATTAAGCATTCCAAATACATACTTGTTGATACATACTAACACCATAAGTCAAGTACAATCTAAGGTAGTGGAGGCGGATCACGACCAAGCTTGTCAAACACCAAAGAACGCATGTATGCGGTACTCGTCACATTCATAAATACCTTAGCCAAACCATCGTCGGATCGAAAAGCTTTCACGACTTGCATGATGTCATCCATGTCTAGGTTCATAGCTTCTAGCTTCTCTAGAATCAACTACCTGTTGACATGGTTCAGTGTATCTAGCACAGTTTGCATTTCCATAGCTTGAGCAATCTTTTGTAGATGATTCGACAATCTTCGATAGGGCGATAGGACTCTCATCTACAGTTTGTATACGTCGACGCTTGACTCTGTTGGTCCCTTCTTCGGCGGTACGTTTACGACCAAGAATTGGGCTAGGATCCATCTCCACATTTTCCATAGCTACCTCATTCACACTTTCGTCAGTTACTACATAAATATTTAGCAACTTGTCAAAAGTTTATACATGAGTACAATGAAATGATCGTACTAAAAATATATTGCATACCATTCATTGGGAAAAAATGGTCGAAGCCAGACACTGCGTGATCTCCAGTGGCACCATCATTGCTGAAGATAGTCTCCATCTCATTATATCTTAGACAACATTTGGTCCCCCACTTCCCAAATTCTGGCTTTCCCTGCGAAATAACCTTGTGGGTGAATTGTAACTGTCACAAAACACACACACACACACACACACACACATATATATATATATATATATATATATATATACACATCTATTAGTATCAATGTCGAAAACACATATAAACTATCATACCTTAATAAAATCGTCCCAAGCAACGACATTGGCTACAATGCGTCCAGTTTCGGGATCCAACCCGAAACCACTCATACTTGACAACTGGCGAACTTCAGCATACTCTTTTTTAAGAGTCTTCAACCTTACTCTTACATTCTTTTTTGAGACCATGACCCCACATCCGTTGACAAGCCTCTCAATTGCCTTAGACACTTGAAATGAAGTATGGCCATTGTCACTTCGTTTGTGCCCAACCAACACTTGTTCAACAAGTGAATTGATCATATAACCATCCATTTCATCACTCCAACGTATGTGACAAGTCTTAGCATTAGGATCTACTTGCAATGTACCGAAATCAATGTCATTCCCGTTTAAAGGGGTGGTCAGTCTGGCAACTCGAAAATGGCCAAGAGAGCTTCTTCGATTTTGTGCCATCAACGCAATCGCCTGAAAGCAGAAAAAAGGTCAATAATTTAAATAAGAAACAAAATGAAATCAAGAAATCTATTATCCATTTAAAACACTCAATGTATGCAGCATCTAGAATATGATCAGCCAACACCAAGGTATCCCGTATCCAACTTCAAATTAATGTTGCTCATGATTTATTGGTAAGAGCTGGGTTGTCCTCTCTTTCAATTTAAATTTTGATTTATTTATGAGTGTGGATTCCAACTTCTTGCAATTTGCACTAGTGAATGATAGATAGGCTTGAAGAACAAAATCAGAATATTTCATTGTTGTTTCAGTCATTACAATAGCATCAACAACATAACAAGCATCGAAGACAATGTTACAAGAAAGCAAGTGCATAAGAGACATTAGAACGTGACAACAACACTAGTAAGGACAATCCTCCTATTACAGGGAAACACAAATAATAAAATACAACATAGCATATTCAATTGAAATCAATTTCCGCATCATGACTTGGATGGTAAGCGACCCACATGTCATCAGCCATTGTATCCCTATTACTACACCATGCAGGTTCTGCTGTAATAGATATAGGAGCATTTGATGTGTCATCGTCGGGTGCATCAACATGTCCAGTGTTAACCTCATCATCAATACTACAATAGTCCTTATCACAAAGATCCTCTGCATCATAAATCCTTAAGAAGTTGTGAATGGCACAACAGGCAAGGACAATCCTTGCTTGTGTCTCAATGTTGTGGTATGGTTGATGCTTTAGATATGCGAATCTTTTTCAGCAAACAAATAATCCTCTCCACAACATTTCATAGACATGAATGCCGAAAATTAAACAGCTCTTTCTTGCTTTCAGGCTGATGTCCCTCAATATCTCTACGATGGTACCGAGTCCGACGATAGGGTGCAAGAAATCCCGGAACCAATGGAAATTTGGCACCGACAAGATAATATTTACCTATTCCACACATGATTGTTAAGTTGTCGTTATTTATTGAAAGAAGTGAAAGATAAATTATCGAACAAAATGTAGATCTTACCAACAGGAATTGTTAGCTTATGACCTTCTCGTAAAGTTGCACTCCTTAACAACCGACCAATATGGGCAGATCCCTCCCAACTGGCAAGTTCATATCAAATGTGCAAGCAACCAAACTATTTTGAGTTATCATTTGCTTCCTATTGCGATACCTTGCTTATTCCTCTATGGGGACATTAGCAAAAATGTGAGTACCATCAATTGCCCCCACAGAATCCTGATATGAAAACCAAAAAGTTTGGTTACAAAAGGAATACTGGTAGTGAAGGAAAACCAAAGGAAGTTAAACATTACCACCTGGCCTAAAAATATTGGAACCATGGCTTTACTTTATCCTTCTCATATGGTGAGTTATGAATAGTGGCATTGTTCACAACATCTCTGTACAATCCAAGGCAAGCCTGTAAAACTCTACGAAAATAGTAACTCACTGTTTGACCAAACCTGAAGAACGTAAAACTTCTAGTTCGATTACGGTGGTCATGTCCAATAGTGTTGAGAAATATAGCCACTTGCTCCTCTACTTTGATAGATCTATTGTCAACCAAGCCATGCGTTCGTAAATGAGCACATAATTGTTGAAACAAAGCTATCTTTATCCTCAATAGATCATGACAAATACGGGGTAGGCGGTGAAGAAGTAGAAGAATCTTCCCTTTATTTTCAGCCAGAAAATTCATATAATATTGTTAAAAAGCATCATCAATAAAAAAATCAGAAATCTTGAACTCCATAACAAAAAATAACGCATATACATACCGAATTCAAGATTTCAAAGGGAAAAATAGAGAGAGGCAGAGAGATGAGATCAGAATCAAAGAGCGTGCACTGTTGGTATGGATTATGTGAAGATTTTTTGGGTCGACATCGTCAGTATTCCACAAGTACGGCGGTTCTGTGTGAGAAATGGGGTGCGGGAGTGGTGTGAGAAGAAAGAGAATGGGAAATAGGGTTAGGTGTGTAAGGGTTGCTTTCCTTTCAATTGCCTGGAAAATGAAAAACCAGCTAAACCATGGGAATTGATATTCCAGCTTTTCGTGGAATTGAGGGTCACGTGAGGGAACGTGAGAAAAAGAGTTGCTAGGAAAATTAAACCTATCAAACAACCTAAAACTTGGAAAATGGTGGTAAATTTTCTCTTTTCCACGGAAAATACGGCTATCAAGTCGTGAGTGAGCAAGCTTCATTTACTGCAGATTTGTAGAGGGCATTTCGTGATGATGCATGGAGCAATATTGCTCCGAGCCTTCCTGCCATTGTGGTTCGTTGCACTAGCAGGCTTATCAATGCTGTTGCAACAGGGAATATTTTGGCTTCTAGACAGGTTTGTTTTTAACACTTTATACTAGTTTATCGGTGGTTTGTTCTTTATGCATTAAGTGTTTGAATCTTGCTTGGAGAATTTTTTTCATGTAATATGCTTTCTCCATGTTGCAGGGCAAATTATCATTGAGCTTTTAACTCATAGGTGCTTTACTCTTAAAATATTTGCTTTCTATTTCAAGAGAATGCACAAAAGTTGCTCAAAAAAGTAAATACAAGGTGTCATGCAGGTTGACGTTGTACTTTGCTATAATAGTTGTTCATGAAAATATATTTCGATTTAAATTCGCAAGTCAACAATTCATAACAAGTAATAAATTGGATTTTAGAATTTTGAATATTGTGATTGATTTAGTTCAATGTTATTTATCCAGTCCTTAACCGAAACTAAATTTTAACAAGTGATTTTATAACCTATTTACTCCCTAACCTAAGCTAATTATGCAATTATTTATGCATGCAATGAATATTATGCAAATTGATGTTTAAATGAAATAAAATGCTATTAAGTGATGAAAACGCAATTTAATGTATTAAGTGATTGTATAGCGCATCAGGATCACGAATTCCTAAGTAATGTTCAATTTAATCCTAATTTCATGAATTGACAACATGATGAAAAATTGAAGAATCAATGCTCATAAATCTATCCAACATTCTCTCTCGAATAATGTTAAATCTATTCTCATATACAACTAATCTTTATCTCTATGACGGGTGCAAATATATAAAAATTCATGTAGTTTTGTGAGCACATAAAGATTCACACAAAGTATAGTGGTATATCTCTATCCCCTATCGGACTCTACGACGATTTATATCTCGTCGAACCTATTCCCCTTCTCTCGAATGCAAGATTAAGTCACCCAAACTCACAAAATTACGGGCCCTTAATTTCGAAAGAAACTAAATGCATATAAATCATTCAAATTAATCAAACGTATTTTAATGTCAAAATATGAAACAATGAATTAAGAATCATATTACAAGGTTCATCGATCTCCTAAGACATAAAAATCTTGTCTAACATGATGGGAAGAAGAAAACAAACTAAATAATAACGAAAAGACATCACCACTTTAAATCTTTACGTTCTTGCCTTGTTCCCCTCTCTAAAAACCCTTATGAATGCGTTATAATGTGTGATGTTTGCTTAGGCATGGCCCTAGGGTTGTAAAATACCTCCAAAGATTTGTTTTCATAAGAATTTTAGTTAGTATAGGAAATCAGAAATTTTTCGTCGCGATTGGCTTAAGCTGTCACCCAGACAAAACCCAGGTAGTCACCCAGGCCAAAGCGTTCTTCTCAGTAATTGATTTTTTACATTGGGCAATCGCCTACTCTAAACAACTGGGCTGTCGCTCAGTTATAAAAACTCCCGAATGTTGCATTTAGCCCCCGAATTTGATTATTGATTCTTTCAAGTCCTTTCTCTTGCATTTTCAACCCTTTAACTTTTAATTGCATCCAAATGAACCAGCAACAACTTTAATCTTCATTTTGTGGTCCGAATCAATTATTGAAATGTTGTAATTTAGTCCTCATACTTTGGATTTCCCCATTTTTATTTTCTTTTCTCTTGAATTTCGCCATTTCCATCAATATAGTCATAGCCGGACTTGAAGAGAGGCCCAAGAGGCCTTCGACTCAGGCCTAGCTTTTTAAGGGGCCCAAAATTTTGCTTTTTCCTTTTTTTAACCCACTAAGCCATTTATAAGAGTTTGGCCAAAATATTGTGATGCTTCATATGGGCAAAAATCAAAACAAATCAGAATCTATCAAAATAGCAAAATCCCCGAGAAATCAAAACGGATCATAATCAATACCAGAGAACGGCGGTGGATTATTCCATTAGCAATCAAATTTCAATTAGTTTTGTTTCTCATTTCCGTCTTTAGATTTGTGGGTATCTTTTTTTTTAGCTCATGTATCAGAAAATCATTTATTTCTTGTTTTGGAGCTATTTCTTCCATGTGAAACAAGGTAACTTTATTCTGACTTTTAAGGGTTAATCTTTTCCCTTTTCTTGTTATTAGCTATCTTTTACTTTTTTTGTTATTAGTAATCTTTTATTTTCTGGGTTTTGCTTGGAAATGAAAATTTGAAGGTATATTTGGTGGGTTTACGTAGTTTGTTGAAAAATTTCAGGCAGAACTTCAAGTCGAAGAGGATTTCAATTATCAATTTTATTGTTTAGTTGAGCAACTGTTGTTGATTTTCACTTAAAATATACATTTGGTAGCTTAATGTGTTATGTTTTTTTCACGTTTATCTAATTATCTTTGAAGTTAAGAGAAACGAAGATATAATTATGATTTGGATATGTTCCCCCCCTTCCGTTTGTGTAGTTTTGCATTAATAAAAGTTGCAATTAATTTAGGAAGATTTGTTATGTACAAACAGAATTTTATTTGAGCTTGTGGAAAACTGTTTTCTGCTTCACTTTATGAATTTTAGATTTATTTAGACCCTATTTGGCCTCCATTTTTTAAAATTAAAATGAGGGGAATAGGGTATTTTTTTTTTTTTTTTGAAAAATGAGTCGTAGAAAAGAAGGAAAAATTTTTGGTTTTAGTGTAATATTATTTTATAAAAGATTGTTTGATTGATAATAGGAGAGAGAAAAATGAAATTTAATTTAATGAAGGCCAAACGGAGGCTTATTTATTAGTATGTATTGTTGACTGCTATGAAATAATCTTCTAAACTCAAGTTACTGCTTGCATTTCATTAATTGATTCATTAACATTTTGTGAAACTCCAGGAGAGTTGATTGGTGTAATTCTTGTTCTAATTTTACAATTTAGTATGTATTAGCTGTTAAGTGACTTGAGTCAAATATCATGGCTCCTAACTATGAGTTTGGAGCTCAAAAAAGAAGAAGAGAGAAAGAGTAGAGGCACTAGTTCGAAACCAAACTAGAGATATGGATACGTACCTTAATAACAAGAAAGAAAAGAAGAAGAGAGAAAGAGTAGAAGCATTAATTTGAAGCCAAACTAGAGATATGGATACATACCTTAATAACAAGAAAGAAAAGAGAATGAACGAACATTGAAAAATTTAATGATTGAGAACAACGGACAATAAAAAATGGATTTCTTGCTTGACTTAGGGGCCCGAATTCTGAAGTTCACTTCAGGCCCCACAAAATAAAGGTACGGCAATGAATATAGTCCTACAAAATTAAGTCATAATCCAAATACTTTGATCAACAATTAGTCATGTATTGTGGGCCGAATAAGTGTGTAAAACGCACTTATCAATAGTTAATATGCTGAATGATGATTCAGTGGTTGTGAGGTTGCAAGCATTGGAGACAATACGCTATATGGCCATATCAGACCATCTGAAGGTGGAAGAAATGCTCTTACGTAGGGTGAATTTCTGATCTCTCTAAATCAGATTCTGGTTATGAAACATTTCGATATATATTATTCTAATCGAAGTGTCTCAACAATGTATTTTTTGTTCGACGTTCTTATGGACTTCCATTTTTTTTTCTTGAATTGCTTTTGTCATCTGTTACTGTTATGCTTCACATTTTGGGTCGACAGATTTCTTTTTGCCCAGTGAGTTGCTTTTTTCCTACTCATGTTCCAATTTGGTATCTTCTTCTGTTCGAATTTGGAGTGCACTGAGTGTGAAGGAGCTGATGAAAGTGAATGGATTGATTCACTTACATCGGCTTCCAAGAATAGTGGTTTAGCATCTTGGTCAAATGTAGAAACTAATGTAGTCAAACTTACTCGAATCAATTTAGAAAATTTTAAAGTAAGTTTACTTTGTATGCACAAAAGTTCGCACCAGAGGTCCTAAATTTTTTATTTTTTAGCATCAGTTTTGAATTCGTATTTTGATCCACCAGATTATTTGTGAAATTCTGTTTCTAGTTTTTATTCCTTGTTGCCCGTAACGCTGACTATTTTTTTCTGGAAACATTGATTAGATTTAAATTTGAAGCATGAATAGGTGAACTTTGCAAGATGTAGCTCCAGAAGTAGTCACTTAAAGTTGCCTTTTTTGCAGTTCCTTGGCACTCTGATTGACAGAAAGGACTCCATCAGATCTGCTGCAAGGAATACTCTCCAATCAATGAAGTTGCAGAATCTGGCCATTGGAACTCTTAAGTTCTGCGAGCTTCATCCCCTCCATTTTCTATAGCTCGTTGCCTTGTAAGAATATAACTGGTTGATATATTTTCAAACAAGTGTGTAAAGGTTTCATATGTCACGCTGAACATCGTTACATTTGGTTTTTTTTTAGTTTGAATGGTAATATAATAATTTGTTTATTTTGATATATGGCGCGTTCGGTGCATTAGATAGCATTAATGTCTAGATTAAAGTAATTCTTG